GAGGTGGGGTATTGATAGGTATACATAAACGTTTCATTTTAGATGTAAGTCGTGTTCAGCTCTAAATAATAATAATAATAATAAAGGGTGCTTTCACGACAGGACGGTAGGCAATCACATCGACTACACTACCAATCCTAAAAAAAATCGAACGATTGAATGCTGGTAAATTGAATGTATAATAATAATTGTTTGCAACAGTAAACTTGTAAAATTGAACAAATTGGGTAAATACATAAATCTCATGTGAATAATACAAATAGTTGACCTAAGTCGGTTCAATAATAATATAAATAAAAATACAATAATACAACAATGTAATGCTGGTCTTACAATGGCGCAACAACAATAATAAATATAATAATAATTGATGATGTGGCCCACACAACACACACCAACAAAATAATATAAATATAAATTAAACGTAATAAATGTATAATTAGGCCTAAACGGCACACAAATGACTAATGGATAATAAAAAAAAAAAAAAAAAAAAATGGCAATGTATGAATAATTCACAGTAGCCTGGTTGACTCAACAATAATTAATACATATAATTTGGCCTAAAACGGCATACAACTGAATGATAATGAATGTATACTAATAATTGCCTTTGAGGACTATAAATGACTATAATAAATACTACATAACGTGGCCCGAACGGCGCAAAAATGAATAATAACAAACACAATAATATATGAATATAATAATAATGTATAGTGACCTAAAAGGCACACAAACTAAATATAATAATGTATACTAAATAATTGCCTTTGAAGGCTAGGCCCGTCGGCCTTTACACACTTATAACAAACACAATGGTCGTCGACCAATACTCACATTAATATGTGACTATGTTGAATGGCTGATTGCATCCACGCGACCGCACCAACCCTGTGACTAGACAAATGCCTTAGACGGCACAACGCAGTGTATATATGAATAAAACTAGTCACAGAATTGGTACGTGCGACCACCCAAGCACAGTCACCACGAAGATAGGTCTACAGCGCAGACGAAGACAATACGAATGAAAACCACGTTAATCACAACTGGCAGACAGCCGACACGAAACACAAGAAAACACTGAAAAACGTGGTTTGAACAAAATGGCTGCAGACCGATACACGAAACACGAAGACACTTCAGGTGATGTGTACACCACGACGCAAAAAGGAAGACCGCAAGTTGGTGCCGACGACATTTACCACGAAGGCTTTGGCCGCCGGACACCACAACGAAGATAAATGTCTCAGTGCCACCACACTAAACCAAAAATACACGAGAACTTACGAAACTTTGGCACTGAGAACATGACTTTTACTTTTACAAAAACATAACCGACAATATGAAAACGTGGAAATAACGAGCATTTTCGTACGACGATAACAATACGATTACGTAATCCGACCGGTCGCGCACGGAGGCTTATCACCGCCGCCGACGACGGCCGGGGATACGCAACGCACCGCTATACATCGCACGAAAATGATAACATAAATGACAATTAAACACAACATTGGACATTATTAAAGTTCCAAACAGTGATGGGAGTTTTCGTTCCATTTTGTGAATCGTTCCTATCGTTCCAGGTCCGGAAAAGGAACGAGTTCAAATGATTCGTTCCTTCGGTCCTTTCGTTCACAAAATATATTATAGTTCACAGTGTACGGGCCCGGTTATTACCGGGCGACGGAACCGGTATTCCGTTAACTGAAATAATTATAACTCAATTGTAATATATTGACCGCCGTAAACACATTATCACAAATATTAATAGTCGATATTTAAATATTTTGGATTGTATTCATGTTTTATAATTAGGATTAGGAATAGGTATTTATAAATTATAAAATAAAAAACTCAACGGTGTTTTTGCAATCTTTGCATTTATATTACAATAACAATAAATTACTATTTAAAATAATAATAGTACAAAAAATGATTAGGAAGTTACCTGAAATATGTATTATAGATTGCCATTTAAAAACATTAATGTTTCCATATTTTTTATGGAAAGTCTATTACGCCTGTCTGTTTGTGTGTATCCGCTTTAGAAAACGTTCGTTCGCATGGAACTGATGTTGATGGCACTCCCAATCTTTGTAACATCAAATGGTATATATTTGGATATATACGTTTCATTTCTTTCCACCATACAAGAAGATCTGATTTCCTTGGGATTAAAGACTCATTAAGAAATTTATCTAATTCCACAATTGCATCGGAAGTGTCAGTTCTCACTGTTGTAACTTCTTTTACCTAAAAAAATATAATATGTAATAGGCTATTTATTATCATAAATTATCGTTATTTGATAAATTGTTTAAAAATGTAAATTAAAATTCATACCTGTGAATCAAATTCTTTCCATATCTCAAAGGTTTCTTTTTTTTCAGTTGACATAGTGATTTGTTCGTCATCTGTAACTATATTTTCTTCTTGATTAATAGATTGTCTTTTGCGTTTAATTATACTTGAAATCTTGCGCACGACGTTTTGATAAGTACGGATATAATATGTCTCGCTACTAAATCCTTTTTTTTTAAAACGTGGATCAATTAAAGTTGCTTCAGCAAAAGTAGAATCGTCTTCCATACCGGCAAATTTGTTTTCGGCTTTATTTTCCATCTTTAAAATCATAGAATAAATATCAAGTGGTAAGTTTTTCTCAGTTCTCATTGTTTTTATGTGAGATAACAATGCATTTGTGAGAACTATAACTTTGGAAATTGATACCCCTTTTTCCGAACTTAACTCAATTGTAACTTCTTTAAAAGGCTTAAAAAGTTTGCAATAATAATCCATTAAATTAAAATCTGACGCCGTCAACATTTCAGTATTACCAATCATAGCCAAAGTGGATACTAATGGATCTTTTGTCTCTAAACACCTATTAAACATATCATAAGTCGAGTTCCATCTCGTTATCACATCTTGTTTCAGTTTTAGTACTGGATAATTCATCTGAATTTGAGTGTTTTTTAATTTTGCTGCTGCTTGAGAACTACGCTTAAAATGTTCTACTATTTTTTTAACTTTTTTATGTATTTCTTTAATTTCTTCTAACCCACATAGGGCTATCAAATTAATGCTATGCGCTAAACAAGGAATGTGTTTCCAATTTTTATTTGAACTTATTGCAGCTGTAATATTACTAGCGTTATCGCTAATAGCTATTTTAACTTTATTTACAATACTCCACTCTTCAAAACAATTGTTTAAAAATGTCGATAAATTGATTGCTGTATGTGATAATTCAAAATAATAGAATCCTAGTAAATGAGATTTTATAATAAGTATCAATAAAATGTACTGTAACAGCGACGTAACTTTCATTATTAACATATATCCAACCGTCCGTACTCATTGCTATATATGATGCATTATCTAAACTCCTTTTAACCTTTTCCCTGGTGTTTTCTAATAATTGAGGTAAAATATTATAAGTAATTGTTTTTCTACTTGGCAAAGAATAGCTTGGATTTAATAATGATACAAATTTTTTAAATTCTTTATTTTCAACCAAACTAAACGGTTGGTATTCTTTAGCCATCATTATACCTAACTGCTCATCAATTTTTTTAGATTTCGAAATAGGCATCGACCTTGATGTATACGCATCTATGGATACTTGTGTTTTTGTAACGCTAGCTGTTTTATTTTTAATTATAGGTGTAATAGTAGTTAAATTAGAATGGGAAGGTTCGGATACGGAAACATTATCAGGTTCATCGATGTTTTTTTCGAGAATTTCAATAGATCTTTTTTTCCTGGCTTCGTATTGAACTATGTGTTTTCGTTTTAAATGTCTCGTTAAATTAGCCGTAGAACCCCCTTTATAAGAAATAGTATTAGAACAAAAATTGCATTTTGCTTTTTCACCATCAACCACTTCAAAATTATTCCACGTTTCACACTTTTTTTTATCCATTATACCAAGAATAATATTACTAAATTACTTATTAATTTAATTTATAGAAAATATAAATGAAATGTAACTTACTATTTTGTCGTTTAATCAACTAACATTGACAAAATGTCTTATAAATGTAATATTAATAATTTTATGCACATAGACACCGCGATTGAAAAATAAACTGTACAACTGTAGAAGTGTAGAGTGTAGGCTCAACTAATTTAAGAACATAACAATATAATAAAAGGCAAAATAATAGATATTTTATTAATACATTCTAATATTATTAATGTTTATTAGTTTTCATTTGTTATGCCTTAAGCACAATATTATAACGTTTCTATAAATATAAAATATGTGTATTGTAATTAAATGAACTTCTTTAGATAGCCAACTCGGTATAAATAGGTCATAGAAGAAAACGTAATTAAATATCTATATTATTATTATTAATTTTTAATTATGATTTATTTTATGCTAGTTTAGGTAAATGATAGTGAAATGAATGATCGATGGTATAATATCGATATTTTTTTGATGCACCTATCCATATATTTTACTTATTTACTCTCGTTCTTGTTCAACTAGTCAATTATGAATAACTATTAACTATCGATTTCAATTTTGATTTTCAATAAATTA